TGGTAGCCCAGGCTGGCCTCGAACTCACAGAGATCCGCCTGCCTCTGCCTCCCGAGTGCTGGGATTAAAGGCGTGCGCCACCACCGCCCGGCGTGCAATTTTTATTTATTTTTTTTTATTTTTTATTTTTTTGGTTTGGGTTTTCAAGACAGGGTTCCTCTATGTAGCCTTGGCTGTCCTGGAACTCTCTCTCTGTAGACCAGTCTGGCTTCAAACTGGTAGAGATCCGCCTGCCCCTGCCTCCCGAGCGCTGGGATTAAAGGTGTGTGCCACCATTGCCTGGCTTCAGGCTGCATTATCAAGACAGAACATTATTCCTGTCCCTGCTGTCACACTCCTTAGAGAGCTCCTCCTCGGAGCCCTGCGCAAGAGACAGCTATCACACAGGACCTCGTCAAAAGTCCTCTGGGGTATTTCCACTTTCCTCATTTTCCCCTCCCTAAACTATCTACTTTATCTTCCCATCTTCTGTCATTTACTCTCATTCAAATTAGCCCAATCTACTGCCTGATGTAGACCATGAAGCTGGAATGGGAGGATGGATGGAGCAGAAACTGACCCGGACGATGAGGCAATTGCTGTCCACCAGGCAGTTAGAAACTGCATGTGTTAAAAAGCACTGGCTCCTCACTTGGGCCCATAAGAGAACTAAAAGCAGGCAGAGCCTAGCATCTCTGCTCTCATTTTGAGTCTGCCTTCCTGTTTGGGGTTGCCTAGTTACCTCTGTGTGTAGGCATGTTCATCATTCAAGGAATGCCTATCCAGAAACCCATGATATCTCATTCCCCTACAGGGATAAAAGCATAAAAATAAAGTAAATGAGACATCTTATCATCAGCTTTTACAATTACTGCCCTGTAGCTGGTCTTTTTTTGGACTGCCAGCTCCCAAATAATGACACGGTGACTTCTTATTGATATGAAAGCTTGGCTTTAGCTTAGCCTTGTCACCAACTAGCTCTTATAACTTATATTAACCCATTTATATTGATCTACATCTTGCCACATGGCTCATTACTTCTCCTCCATACTGTATGTCTGACTTCCTCCCGTGTCTCATTGGCAAATTCCCTGACTCTCAGATCCTGCCCCCCTCATGTATCTGCCTGGAAATCCTGCCTGTCCTCTTCTGCCTAGTTATTGTCTGTTCAGCTCTTTATTAAACCAATCTGGTGTCTTGGTAGAGACACAGCTTCACAGTGTACAAAAAGACCATCCCACGACACTCCCCAAAGGTACCTAACATCACCTTGGATTCCATGAACATCAGAGCATCCCAGGTCAGAACACCTCCCAGATGAGGGCATCCCATCCTTAGGAACATCTTCTGAGAATGATATTGTCCCCTCAGGCAAAAGGGGCTCTTTGGACCACCCTGCAGAACCGGGCTGAAACAGTGACCAGCCAGGACGCATCGTGACGAGGGTTGCTCAATTCTACATACTTCTTGCTCCCTGCCCCAGTTCTTCCTCTGCTTACACCTAAAGCTCACGTGGGCTGCTTGGCCCCTGTATCTGTCCCTTTCCTGAGTGTGTGCATTAATGAAATCTATTTCTGCTTTTCAGCTTTACTCCTCTCTTTCTGTTAGGGGCACCACCTCCTGGGGTGACTTACGATCTTTTCTGCCCTGAGCCGGTTAAACAAAAACAAAAAAAATAAAACTCATTTAGCCCAGACTGGCCTTGAACTCAGTATGTAGCTGGCTAAATGGCTGAAGATAACCTTAAACGTCTGATTCCCCTCTTTCTGCCTCGAGTGCTGCTTACAGGCATGCACCATCACACCCAACTTATGCAGTGCTTGGGATCAAAATCGAGGGCATTGTGTGTGCTTGGGTAAGCACTCTACCAAATGAGCTACATCCCCAGTCCCTTAGCTTTTATCTATCTTCCACGACAAGTTTTAAAAAGCTGAGACCATGCTCTCGCATTAGTAACCAAGGGTATAAAGGCAAGCCTTGCTCTGTATTATAGGTCTTTTTACAAAAAGGCCCGCCAGGCAAGAAGGAAACCTATTACCAAAAAGGCTTTTAGACAGTCTTTAGATTCCAGAGGGTCGCGAGCAGGTATGTACAGGAGCAGAGAGCATTTTTCTCAGCCTACTCCTGGTATCTGAAGCAGGTTGGTTATTAAAAAACCCTTCCCATTGTAAAGAACCAGGTCCGTGCCGAGCCGCGCCCTTCTCCCTCGAACTACAACTCCCAGCATGCAGCCCGCCCCAAGAGTACGCACGCGCATCGGAGGGGAAGAGGGAACCAGCAACACAGACAGCGCGGTCGGGTTTTCGGGGGGCGCCGCTGGGCGGGAGGGTCCGGCAACTCCCTGAAGTGGCGGCACCGCGGAGCGTGGGCGCCGAGAAGGGCGATTTAAACCTTGCGGGGCTGTGCAGGGGCTCGGCGGCCGGACGCCAGCAGGTGAGTTCAGCACGGTGCTTTCCAGGAAGTCCGTCGGCGGGCGCGGCAGCGGCTCGCTCCGGCCTGGGCGACTGAGGAGGGAGCGGCTGTGCTTCCCGCCGCGGGGCTGCGGCGCCTTCCCCCGAGGGCCTCGCTAGGAAGCGGAGGGTGCCGGGCCGTCCCGGGACGGCGAGGTGTGCCGGGTGTCGTCCGCGGCCAGGCACGCAGGCTCCGGGCTGTCGGTGAGTCATTGGGCGGCCGGCCGGCTGGAGTTCGGGACCGGGCGGCTGGGGTTCGGGGCCCGTCACCTAGTGTTCGAGACCGGCCTCCTGGAGTTCGGGACGGTCTACCTGGGTTTTGGGACTCGCTGATGCTCTGGAACCGGCGTGGGCTGGGAGGTCGTCTGGGAAGTGCCTCGCCCCGCAGCCCCTCTTACCCCAGCTGTCTGCTCGCTGCCCTGCCTGGCTGTTGGTGGAGAGGGAACCCACAGAACTTGGGACACACCCTTTTCGTGATTGAAATCTGGCCGTGTGACATTGGCCATTTTGATCTATCTGCCCTGCTCTGCCTTAGAATGAATTGCTGGCTCCCGTGCAGCCCAGCTGGGGCCGGCTGTGAGGCTGATGCGGGTTTGTTGGGAGGACGTGACTGGGTCGTTGCAGTTGTGCTTACAGAAGTTGGTGTGTTTCCTCCGCGCGCCTGCATTCTGATTGCAAACAGAAATGGGAAACGGCCTCGGTTTTTACTTTCCTTTTCTTCTCGCCCCTTTTCCCTCTCTTCTCTGTTTTTTCGACTCTTCTCATTCGTGTTTAAGAACCTCCTTGACCCTTTTTTCGAATCCCCCCACCCCGTTTCTGATTCTAGTCTCCCTCCCCCCTTGTCTTCTTTCATGTTTAGCTAAGAATCGAATTTCCCACTTGCCCTCTGCTTCTCTTAAAACCCACAGTCATCTATTTGGTAATGAACAGGGCAGTAAAACTTATCCCAGGAGGTCATACTTAAACAGGAAATGAGCCTGCGGAGATCTGTTAGCTATGTGCAGTCATCTTTGGTTTCTGACATTTTTGTGCAGCTCGTTCTTTTTCTGAGGATCCTTCAGAATAGTTTCTTGGCAGATTAAAATGATTAATCAGTCGACCTGCCAGTATTTTAGAAAAATAGCTTCTCTCAGACTCCTTTGTATTGGTTGTCTCTTCCTAGTCCTGTTACACATTTTACACACACACATACATCCCTTTTTTGGTATTTTGAGTCAGTCTCACCATGTAGCCCAGGCTGGCCTTTACCTCATTCTTTTCCTGCCTCAGCTTCCCAGTACTGGAATTACAGATGGGGCCGTCAAGTCTAGCTACCTCTAAATGTCTTTTAAGAGCCCACAGTTAGGGCCTGGAAAGATGTTGAACTTCCAAAGGACCTGGGTTTAGTCCCCAGGACCCCCACATCACAGCCTACAACCATCTTGTAATTCCAGTTACGGGACATCTCTTCTGATCTCCACAAGCACTGTACACATGGTACACATACAGACAAGCTGGCTGGCACACACATACACATAAACAGAATTCTTAAGAAGAGCCCACAGAGCCGGGGGGTGGTGGTGCACGCCTTTAATCCCAGAACTCGGGAGGCAGAGCCAGGCGGATCTCTGTGAGTTCGAGGCCAGCCTGGGCTACCAAGTGAGCTCCAGAAAAGGCGCAAAGCTACGCAGAGAAACCCTGTCTCGAAAAACAAAAAAGAAGAAGAAGAAGAAGAAGAAGAAGAAGAAGAAGAAGAAGAAGAAGAAGAAGAAGAAGAAGAAGAGCCCACAGTTACAGTTAGAATACCGTCTCTGGCTCTACAGTGTGCATTCCATTGTATTCCAGGTCTTAGAACTTCCTTGCCTTGCATCTTCCCAGCATGTCTAGTTTTCCTTAGAATGAGATTGATGGTGGCTACGTAACCCTATGATTATCCTAGCCTTCTATGGTGTGTGTGTGTGTGTGTGTGTGTGTGTGTGTGTGTGTGTGTGTGTGTGTGTTGTAATACTGCACGCGCGCAGTTGGGTCAATGCATGTTCATGTGTGTTCACACATGTATGAACATGCATGTGGAAACCTGGAAGTTAATGTCATGCCTTCCTGAGTCACATCTGCTGAACCATATCCCTAGCCCCTCCTTCAATAATCCTAAAAAAAAAATTAATCCACTTGGGAAACCTTGGCTAAATGTATATCATTCCAACCCCTGTGCTAGGCAAGAACGAACAGCAGTGAGTTCTTGAGGCTATTTCTGCCGGATAGTTGAATTTTCTTTCATCTGTGGTAGACGTTAAGCCATGCTTTGCCTGACATTAAATACTTATAGGTCAGATGCCATCACAGTTCTTGGTTGTCAGTGTAACCACAATTTTTTTCAGGCTGGTGATGTTCAATAATTAAATGCTTGCCTAGCAAGTGTAAGGACCTAGGTTTGATCCCAGCACCACAAATGCCAAAAGACAATTGTCAGTTTCCAGGTACTGGCTTATTTAAACAACAGGTCAATACAACAGAAAGGACCTAAGGGCCTACATCCTGTAGGGGCAGTACTCTTTGCAATTAGTGTGCATAAATCACCAAACCTGTTCATTTTGAAGTGAAGTCTGGAATTTTGAAAGTTGGTAGAAATCACACCTTGAAAACTAAGATGGGAAGATAATTCTGAAAATATTGTAAAGTGTTTATGATGATTCTTTTAAGACAGGTGCTGATAATTGTGATATCAGATATATATTAAGGACTTGTCTAATTTTCAATTAAAAAAAATTGTTTCTGACAGCGTCTCACACAGCCTAGGCAGGCCTCCAATTTACAATGTAGCCAGAGCTAGCCTTGAACTCCTGATCTTTCAGCCTCCACACCCCGAGAGCTGGAATTACAGGTGGGTGCCACCATGCTGGCTTCTCCTTCCTTTTTCTCTGTGTGCTCTTAGCTTCCTTCCTCTTTTCTTCTGTTGTTTGCACCCCCGTTTTCAGTGATGACTGATGCCACAAAGATGTATTTGACTCTGTCCTAGACACTGTCTCGGGTTCCTGATGTGCGTAAGATAGGATTCCTGTTTGGAAACTTACTTTCTTTGGAATTTTGCCAGTGTGCTGGTTTAGGGCACTTGTGGTTGCTCTTTGTAGGGAATAAGAACATGTGGTAGCTGTATGGTGGATCTTTTCCAATTGTACAGCTGGGGAACAAATAAAGTCAGTCTCTGTCCATGTCCTAGTCATCTGTTCCCCCAGACCATCCCTTTCGGTCATGCTGGAGCATGTGTGGCATATCTACATCGAGTACAGTGTAATTTCGTCCGATTTATGGCACTTCAGATGAGCTGAACACAGGAAAATCACCGAGATCTAAGCACTGTTATCAGCCGGGGTGTGTCTGCAGGTGTAAATGTATAACTGGGATAGAGATCAGCAGAGGGAGGGGGAAGATGAAAGAGGTGGAGGAAATGGGTTTCATAGTGTTCTGTGTCAGTCTGTACTCTGCGGTACTGCTCAGGCTGGAATCATGAACTTCCTGCCTTTCTTCCAGAGTGCTGGCATGTGCCACCTTGGAGGAATTTTTGTTTTGTTTTCTTTGTGATGGGTTTTACTTTGTAGCCCAGTCTGACCTGGAACTCACAACGCACAGGTTCTTTGCTCACTCACAGCAGCCTGCTCCGCTCAGCCTCCCAAGTGCTGGAGTTACAGATGTGAGCTCCACACCTAGCTCGGTTTTCTTGATTAGAAGAGTCCAGGAGGGCATTATTGTGTAGGTTATAATGGTAGATAAAGCAGTGTGTCAGCTGCTGGTCATTGACCTATCTTGTTGACATTTGAGTTACACGTGCTCTTCACGGTTTTATGTCAGATCCTTTAAAATCATAAGTGTAAAATCATATTGAAGAAAAACAATATAGGAAACAAATATTATTTAATCATGATGGTCCATTAGCCTGTTAGATATTAAAATTATTGAGTCAAGTTCTGTTAGTTAATTATTAAAAACAATAAAATCTGAATATACATTCTTATATTTGAATCCATTAGGGAGTGTGTGTGTGTGTGTGTGTGTGTGTGTGTGTGTGTGTATTCACATGGCTGTGCATTCGTATGGAAGCCAGGTGCCTTTTGGGGGGCGGGGTAAGGGTCTCTATGTATAGCCCAGGCTCTCCTCAAAGTCACATAGATCATCCTGCCTCTGCCTCTGGAATACTGGAATTAAGGGTATGCACCACCATGCCAGGCTCTACTTTATTTATTTTAAGTATTTACTTACTTATTTTGAGGCAGGGTTTTTTACTGAACTTGGAGCTCCTTGAGCTCAAGTCAGTAAGGCTGACTAATCAATCACTGAGCCCCAGGGACCCTCCTGTCCCCTCCTCCCCAGCTCTGAGATTACAAGCGCACACTGCCTGACTTGTATATGGGTACTTGGGCTCAAACTCTGGTCTTCAGGTTTGCATGGCAAGTTCTTTACAGCTGAGTCATCTCCACAGACCTCTGTCAGTTCGTTTAATGGTAAAGAAGGCATAGAGGTTCTAAAAATCCAAAGTAGTAAATGGTTGAAAGTGCATGCATTATAGTGCTCTAGAATTTCTTTTGAAACAGAATCATTAGCCTGTGTCTTGAAAGTAGAATTTTTACATTTATTTATTTAGTCTGTGCATAGGCACCCATGTGCCATGGTGCATGTGTAGTAGTCACAGGACAACCTGTGAGAGTCTCTTCTCTCCAGCATGGGGATCCTGGGAACTTAACTCGAGTCATCAAGCTTAGCGGCAAGCACCTTTACGTGCTGAGCCATCTTGGTGGCCCCATCATTAACCTATATCTTGGAGTGGAGTGCTCCTCTTTTTTATGATTGGTGTTTCTTACATCCTAAGAAATTTAGACTGACGTTTAAGGTGGTAGAGATACTCTGGTTTCTTTACAGGGTCTCATGTACTCCAGGCTGGCCTCAGACTCACTATGTTGAAAGAATGACCTTAAACTTCTCAAGTCTTGCTGCCTCTACCTTCCAGGTACT